GGTAAGTATATGAAGTTTAAGTACTTCATAATGATTGCAATATTATAAAGTTAGCAAGAATTAACCTTGTGCCGCCTCAATAGCAATTTTTAGTCTACTAGCCCATTTCAAAGTAGGTCCAGAGCATTCTCCTGTAAATGAAAATGCTAATTAAATCGTTACAGTTAAAAGATATCAAAATGATTGATTCAAAGACAAATAAAGACATCAACTATTAATGTTTAATTACCTGATAAATGTTGTTTAAGGTCTCCATTAGCCATGTACTCATAGATGAGTGCCAAATGACCTCCTTCATCACAGTAACCAACAAGGCTTACCAAGTTTATGTGATGAACTCTTAATAGAAGCTCCACCTTTTTTGGTCAATTTCATATATATAAAACTCTCAATTACACATAAAACAAGTTATTTTCGATTGAACAAGTACAAAAACCTGAACATACCTCTGCCTTAAATTCTTTATAGCCTTGAACTGATGACTCGGAAAGAACTTTAACCGCTACTGGTTCGGTATCACTCAAAGAACCGTGGTAGACAACTCCAAATCCTCCTTCTCCAAGAACTCTTTTGAAGTTATCCGTTAGCTCAACGACTTCCAAATAAGTGAACTTTTTATTTTTGGCAAAGATAGATGACTTTCTTGGTAACTCGCGTGTAGCAACTGTATATGGAAAAATCATATAAGCAATGCCATTATTATATACCATGAAACTTAACAGAGTATTAAGCCTTTGTGTGCATCTTGATTGATATATCTATATACCTTTTGATAAGGGCTTTTTCTTTCTCAAAACAAAAATGAGACCCAACAAGGCGATAAGAGCCGCCATTGAAGCAAGGGATGCAAAAACCGGCACTAGGACTTTCTTGTTCTTGCATGAGTCAGAGAGACATAGATTTGGGTTTCCTTGAACACTAAATAACAAGAATGTTATTGAATACGCAAAATCATCAGGGACAAGAAACTGTTAATGAGAAACTTACACCAATTTTAGTCCTTTCTTTTCTCTATTGCGAAGGGCTAGAGGAATCGGACCGGTTAAGCTATTCCAACCTAAGTTTCTGTCAAAACAGAGAAGAACATTATGGTATATACACATCATCCATAAATCTGGTGCAAGAAAGTATGATCACTTATTGTTTGCCATGAAATAAACTCACATGATCAACAATGATTCCATGTTGGCTAGAAATTCAGGCACCCCTCCAGTTAGATTGTTATTCGATAAGTCCCTATTAGTCGATTACGATAACCAAGAAGATTAATATACGAGGTATAAAAACAATAAATGCAGTTTTGAGGATATTGTTGTCTCACAGTTCTTGTAGATGTGTTAGATTTTTTATGCTAGGTGCTATGACCCCCTTTAGTCCACTTGATGATAAGTCTCTGGTTATAAAAACAGAACACACATTTTAAGATATTAAACACTAGTTTTTTTTTTTAATTAAATCTGTAATTAAATATTCTTACAAGGATATGATTCTTGGTGGAATAGAAGCATTTGTGTTGCTGCAATTTATTCCTAATAGAAGAATAGAAGAACAGAAAACAAGCTTTGAGCTCTCTAAGTCTAAGATCTGAGAGATGAAGAAGAGAGAGCCGAAAGTAAAGAAATGTTTTCGTTACCGTCTAAGAATAGTGTTTACAAGTTTATATACACTTTCTATTCTTGACCTAGTATCTAAACCGGAACAAACCGGTTAATTACAATTGAACCGAAACATAAGATTAAACCATAATCTAATAGTCCCCCTCAAGATGGAGCAAATATATTTATAATCTCCATCTTGGACAGCAGATGCTTGAATTGAGCTGGAAACAGAGGCTTTGTGAGTATATCCGCTAACTGATTCTCTGTGCGCACATGAAGAGTCTTGACCAAGCCGAGAATGATCTTCTCTCGAATATGATGACAATCCAATTCTATATGTTTGGTTCTCTCATGAAAAACTGCGTTATTGGCTATGTGTATGGCGGCTGTGTTGTCGCAGTACAAGACTGAAGCTTCTGAAACATCTATCCAAAGATCACTGAGAATGTATCTTAACCAAACCATTTCTCTCACTGCCATAGACATTGCACGATATTCTGCTTCTGCAGAGGACATTGAGACCACATTTTGCTTCTTGGATTTCCAGGAAACTAGAGAAGTTCCAAGAAACATGCAGTATCCAGTAGTGGATTTTCGTGAGTCTCGACATGAACCCCAATCAGAATCCGCAAAAGCAGAAAGCTTCAAGTCAACAGACGCAGAATAAAATAGACCTTGACCAACAGTTCCTTTCAAGTAATGAATTACCTTGTAAACAGCTTTGAGATGTGGAGCACGAGGTGATGATGAGAATTGACACAACCTATGGACTGCATAAGTGATGTCTGGTCTTGTAAAGGTGAGATACATTAATTTACCAACCAACTTGCGATAACGTTCAGCATCTTCCAGTAGTTCACCATCATCTTGTGTCAACTTCAGATTTGGTTCCATGGGAATGGAGCTTGGTTTGCATCCAAGTAGGCATGTCTCATCCAACAATTCAAGAACATATTTCCTTTGACATAGGGAGATACCTTCAGCATTTCTGGCAATCTCTAGGCCAAGAAAGTATCTGAGTGTCCCCAAATCTCGCAGCTTAAAAGAGCACTGTAATGCCTCCTTTAAGAGTCTGGTGGCTTCATCACAGCTACTAGCAATTATTATATCATCCACATATACTAAAACTGCCATGTATAAATTTCCAGAATTCTTAGTAAAGAGAGTGTGATCACCTGAAGATTGAGTGAATCCCAACTGTCTTAAAGAATAAGAAAACTTCAAGTACCACTGACGAGAGGCTTGCTTCAGCCCATAAAGAGACTTTTTCAATTTGCAGACAGCATTCTTAGGGAAACTGTCCCCCTCTTTTGGTGAGTATCCAGGTGGTAATTGCATATATATTTCCTCCTCCAAGTCACCATTTAAGAAGGCATTGGATATGTCCAATTGTGTGAGAGACCATCCTTTTGCAGCAGAGACAGCAAGAAGCATTTTGACTGTTGTAAGCTTGGCAACAGGTGAGAATGTTTCAATGTAATCAAGTCCTTCCTTCTGAGTGTATCCTTTAGCAACTAACCTTGCCTTGTATCGCTCCAATGTACCATCAGCGTTTAATTTGATCTTATAGACCCATTTGCATCCAATGGCCTTTTTGTCGGGTGGAAGAGAGCAAACAATCCAAGTCTCATTATCCTCAAGTGCTGTGATCTCAATACCCATTGCATCACACCATTCTTTAATCAGTTGTGCTTGAGCAAATGTGTGAGGCTCTGGGATCTTATTCACAGCATTAATGAAAATCATATAAGGATCAGATAGGGAGGAATAAGAGAGGACCTTTGAAATGGGATGGTCTGTGGATGATTCAACAGAATAACAATGGTAATCATTGAGGTAAGAAGGTGGTCTTGACACTCGTTGATGTTGACTTGTCTTGATTTCTGGACTCGGGGTTTCAACAGGTGAGGAAGTGCTTCCCTTATCAGTGTAAACGTGAGGAAAGAAATCTGACAACTCATTGTTTTCTTCCTTCTCTTTTCTGAATGGGAACAAATCCTCATAGAAAACAACATTTCTGGAAATAAATATGGCATTGCTCTCCAAATCAAGGAGCTTATATCCTTTATATCCAGAAGGATATCCAAGAAAGACGCAGGCCCGTGCTCTATCTTGAAACTTATGGCGCTGTTTTGGAGAAGTGCTAGCATAGCACAAGCAACCAAAAGTCTTCAAGTGAGTGTATTCAGGAACCTTCTTTGTCAGCACCTCAAATGGAGTCTTGTTCAAGAGGACAGAAGTAGGTGTTCTATTAATGAGAAAGACTGCAGTGAGAATGCAATCTCCCCAGAAAGAGAGAGGAACCTGAGATTGGAAGAGGAGGGCTCTGGCCACATTTAAAATGTGTTGGTGCTTTCTCTCCACCACCGAATTTTGTTCCGGTGTCTCAGGACATGAGTGGTAAGGAACAATCCCTTTTCTTTTGTACAATTCTTCAAACTTGAGCTCTGGTGCGTTGTCGGATCGAACTGACTTTACTCTAATCCCATATTGAGTTTCCACCATTGTAAGGAAATCTGGGAAAACTTTGAGAACATCGCTCTTGAGTTTGAGGAGATACACCCATGTGACTCTTGTATGGTCATCCACAATCGTTAAGAAATACCTATATCCCTCTTGTGTTGATTCTGTAAAAGGTCCCCAAGTGTCTATGTGAAGTAAATCAAATGGAGCAGAACTTATATTTTGACGAGTAGGATAAGGTAATTTCTTCTGTTTAGCACGCTGACAAATATCACAATGCAACAATCCTTTATTCTTGTGTTTAGAAATCCCAAGTACATCTGTGAGCAAATCTATGCGTTCAAAAGAAGTGTGGCCAAGCCTTTGATGCCAAACAGATGCATCAATTACAGAATTAGCAACAAAAGAGGTAGAAACAAAATCTTCATCCACTGAGTCTTCAACATCCAGGACATATAGATTTCCAATTCTTCTACCTTCTCCAATCATTGATCCCTTGGTGAGATCCTGTATCACACAACAGCTTGAATCAAACATTACTCTAGCACCAATATCTATAGTTAAAGCACTCACACTAAGCAGATTCAATCGGAATTCAGGAATATACAGAACATTTCTCAACACAATGTCTCCATTAATAGCAATGCTCCCAACACCTCCAACTTTTATTGTAGTACCATTGGGAAGGTTCACATGATGTTGAGCTGAAGTGTTAAGCTCAATAAACATCTCTCTAACATGACATACATGGTGTGTAGCACCAGAATCCACAATCCATGTTTTAAGAGTCATGGCATTTTTAGATACAGTGAGAATACCAATGAAGCTGAAAGTGGAAGAGGAAAATGTTATACCAGATGGGTCATTTGGAGAACTGTGTGAAACTGAAGCTGTGTTCTGAACTTGACTAGCAGGCTGCAACTGAGAGCTAAATAAGGCAATGAAATTTTGAACCTGATCCTTACTTAGATTTCCAATGAGGTCTTCCAAACCAGCAGGAGCAGATTGACTGTTACTTGAAACCTGAGCAGTGACTGCAGAGTTCATCTTAGAGGATTGACCTTGTTGCTGAGATTTCTCAGAGAATGACTTCCCTTTCTTCCAGCCAATAGGGTAGCCATGTAACTTATAACACTTATCCGAAGTGTGTCCTGTGTAGCCACAGTAAGAGCAAGTCGGCTTAGGGTCCCTTCTTTGAACCGCATTCAACGCACCAGGTTGAGCCATATTTTGAGAAGCAGTCAACACACCAGGTTGAGTGCTCTCTTTACTGATCTGAAAAGCAGCTGGAGCAACATTGTTTTAAAAGAGGCAAGCACGCAATACAGCGTAGGGCGTGCACTGCCGTCCTGTGGCTTCTTTTTGGTCTCCCCTTTTTT